TCATAAATAAATTAAACTTGATTTTTATACAATTTGACATATTTATTTTTATATTTTTTATTAATATTAAAATATTATAAAAATAAGTCTTTAAAATCTTAGTTCTAACCAAACATTTAAAAAATATTTATGACAGATAAATAAGTAAGTCATATTTAGAACATATATTTTAAAATGTTACGTCTAAACCTACTAAATTATAATATAACATAATCTGACCTAGTTTATTTTCATCCATAAATAATCATAGATATAAAAATTTGTAAAAAATAATTATAATACATATTTATACTTTTAAAAATTATATGTAAAATTTTGAATACTACAAATATATAAATAAGTATTGCCCCAGTATCTAAAGTTTCTGAATCTTTCACTATACATATATATATATATTTCCTTTTCAAATTAGAATATAAAAGTTTTTATTATTTTCTTATTACCTAAATATAAATAATAAAAAAACATTTTTTTTTTGCTGTATATAGCAAATCGGTACTTCTCGGAAGAACACATCTCAATCGATTCTAACGAAGTCTTAAAAAAAATTATTAGTCATTTATTGGTGCACAAGGATGCGCCTCAAGGTCACGAATGAAGACAAGATATCCAACTCTGTGACCAATTAAAAAACACAACATTATTAAACCAAACAAAAATTAATAATAATAAAAGTTAAAAAAAAAAAAAAAAAAAAAAAAAAAAAAAAAAACAACTCAACATGTCTCAGTTGCATGTGCTCTTGCTCCTAAAAATTAAACACAGAACTCATTTCCTTTGAAAAAGAATCATTTGTTTGCTCTATATATAGAGCAAATATTTACCTCTTATTAGTAAGATAACAGCTGAAATCCATTCAATTTCAAACAAAGCTTTCCAAAAATACTAGTTTTGTTTTGAGGACAAAGATAAGAAGCATATACCTTACTCTTTACATAATGAGTAGTGTCGACACGTTGGAAGCTGCAGCTAAAAGGGGAGACATAAACATTCTCTATGGAGTGATTGAGCGAGATCCGAGTGTTTTAGAGCATGTAGAATCAAAGCCATTTGTTGAAACTCCTTTGCATATATTGCTGCATCTATGGGGCATCTCCACTTTGCCAATGAGATTATGGTATTGAAGCCTTCATTTGCTCTTAAACAAAATCTGCAAGGACTCGCTCCCCTTCACGTTGCTCTACAACATGGCCACGAGAAAATGGTCCACCGCCTCGTAGACCTTAACAATGAGCTCGTCCGAGTTCAAGGGAGAGAAGGTTTTACTCCTCTACACTTGGCCAGTCAAATAGGAAACGTTGAACTCTTGAATAAATTCCTCGATGTTTGTCCAGATTCTATCAAAGATGTGACTATTAGAAGTGAAACTGCACTACATATTGCAGCCAGAAAAGGACAAGATCCTGCTCTTAAAGCCCTAGTTGGATGGCTCTCCTCGATTGGTGATTTGCAGTTAAAGAGAACAATATTGAACTCGAAGGACGACCAAGACCATACCATTTTGAACATTGCAGTACTCGAGAATAGCAAAGAGGTATTCTTTAATCTATATATATTATATATTAAATATATCAAACAGTTATTACACAAAATTTAGATACTGTGTTTTAGTTGTAGTTGGTATAATTTTTTAATCAAAATTAAAATTTTATCTCAATAATATACATACATTTATGTGATTTGTATATTAAATGATCTTAGTACTTGCATCACGTAGGTGAATTTTTTTTATTTATATATTATTTAACATGTTTAATTTGATCTGATGTGAAACTTACTTTATACTTAAACTTTATATTAAATACAAGTGTATAATATCAATATAAAATTTAAATTCTAATTAAAAAATAACACCAATTACAGTTAAAAAAATTGTGCCTAAGTTCTCTATGCAATAATATTATTTCTCACTGTCTTTTTATGACTTGATTGTATAGGCAGTTGAATTGTTGATAGAGAGTTGTATGATGAATTTAGAAGCTAAGAATTTGGAGGGCAATATTAATACAGCGTTGGCCATAACAAGTAGCGATGATATCCGGAGGACATTAGAGAAAGCCGCCATTAAAGCAAATAAGTTTAGTTGGAAACGGTGGCTAATAAATATTCGGTCTCGGCTAAGAAAACACATGTCAGGGGAAGCACTGAACGCGTATTTAGTTGTTCTGGCTCTTATTGCAGCTGCCACTTATCAAGCAACTCTGAGTCCTCCTGGTGGACTTTCTCAGACGGATGGTGGGACTAATAATACTCTAAGTCGTGTGGCTTTCCATTCATTAATAAATAGCCGCAAAACTACTGCCGGAAATGAAGGCAACTCGATCTTGCCAACTTTTGACTTCCTTCTATTCTTTATGCCAAGTATGAGTTGTTTTATGGCTTCAACTATGCTTATTTTAGCCATATTGCCTAAAAAGGCTTCCTGGATTCTACTATATACGCCAATGTTACTCTTTCAAATCAGCTACGTGGCAGCTTTGTTGGTCATATCTCCCACCCCTACTACCACCACAACAATCATTCTTTTATTATATGCGTTTTGGTCTATTCCTGGTTTTTTAATTCTAAAATTTAGTACTTGAGATTGGCTGCATATATAATTAATATGTTTTAATGTTTTTTTTTTTTATCATTATTGTTTAATAATATGAAAGCACTACTATTTACTTGTTGCATTATTTATATTGTATGTAAATTTCATAGACTTATTAACAACCATTTTTAATTTTTATTTTCACTTTCTCCATATTATCATGGGTTCGTATTTGAAACTTAAATTGAGAAGAAAATTTATAGTACTAGAAAAATGGAAATTAGAGACGGAAAAAATCCGTCACAAAATTATTAGTGACGGAATTTGTGACGGATTTTGGGTCGTCACAAAAAATGGCGTCACAAAATATTTAGTAACGGAAAAATTCAGTCCGTCACAATTAGTGACCGAAATATGTCGTCACTAACTAATAAATTTTTCGTCCCAATTTTTTATTTTTACGAATTTTTAAATAAAAAATAATTAAATTATTCCAGATTTATTAATTATACAATATATATTATTTTCACTTTTTATTTCTAATCTACAAGTATTAATTATGAATTTTCAGATAATTGGCAGTGATAAGATTCGAACCCCTTACCTTCTACTCATTCTAACCTTAACACTCCTTCTCCAGCCATCTGAGCTACCTTATCAGTTCAGTACTTATTTAACAATATATATATAAATATGAAAGAATATCAATTTTTATCACAATAATATCAAACATCATTAAACATCAAACTAATAAATTTAAAATAGATTCATAATTAAAATCATAATATAATTTATTTTAGAATTTTTATTTTATTAAATTAATTGAAAATTAATTATATTTTATCACTTTTTAATCAAGTGAATGAATGATAATGAATTAACAAAATTTTTAAAATATATTTTAATTGAAAGTATATTTTTAGTAAATATTTGAATATAAAAGTATTTTTATAAATAATTAAATGAAAAATATTTTAAAATTTATTTCTCTCATAACACCACTTAAGTAAAAATTTTCAAAAAAAACTAAACTTATATTTGTTTGCGTTATTTTTCCAAAAAAAATAAAATAAAAAGAAAAGATCAAACCTTTTGATAATTAAGTCATCCAAAAATTAAGAGCAAAAAACAATGTTGATTGGACCAAACTACTCAATACGTACGAACTGAGTTCAGTGTGATATCCTCCACCAAAAAGAAAAGGACAATAGACTCCGAAACTGTAATGCATAAATAGAATTTGAAAATTAAAACAATTTATTTGAAACGGTTACACGAGGAAAAAAGAAAAGAATAAATAGTTATTTAGATTGTGAAACTTGTAATCCCAATCCATTTTTCTTGTTGCGCTACTTTGCATTTTATTTTGTTTTAACCTTGATTCTGAACCAAACCCCCCCCACTTCGTTGAACCTTTGACAGAGACAAATGGTCCTTGGGAGATGACCTAGGAAAGCTTCCTAGTATTACATTTAACTATTTTTATTTGACCAGGTACGACCTCGATCAAGGTTATTAAAAGTTACCTGAGCAGTTTGAGTGGTTACGTCAAAGTGGGTACCACGTGGCGTGTCAAAGAAATAAAAACACGTGGAATAAACGGTTACGAGAAGTTACACTTAAACCACGTAGTTTGCGTAGTGGACAACGATTATGCGCTCAGCTGGTTGAGCCTCCACAAAATTAACCGTTCTCGATTAGCTCTATAAATGTGAGAAGCAAACTACTTCACAAAGGTCAGAAATTCATACTTAAGAATTGTCACAAGCATTTATTGCCTACGCATATGGCTGCAGTGCGCGAGATTATTGCTGGGTATGACTTCTTGGCCATGTTTTCTATCTTTCCCTTGGATTAGTTTAATTAATTTGGTTTTCCGTTCGTAGTGTATTATTTTCTTAAGATTGTTGCTTAGAATTGTACGTCTTGATCCTATAACTATGCGAATTGAATGATGTTTTGTATTGTTAATATATATATTGTTCACTCAGTTTATTTGAAAGTTTATATAAATGAGAATTTTTGCGTATTAATTACTGATGAATATCTAGAAATAGGCAATTGTTAAAGGTTTTTGTATCTTTCTCATCTCTATTTTCATTCTCGTTCTCAAAATATGTAAATTCACATACCTAAATTCAAACAACTCTATGCTAGTTCGAATAAAAATAACTCATAAACGTAATTCCCCGCAAACAAATTGGCACGCCTGGTGGGACGCATTGAATTAATTGAACTAGTTTTAGGTATGTTTCATGAGACTTAGGAGTGCAAGAACCATGTCTACATCTAAGAGGTGAACAATGATTATCAAGTAGACACAGAAAACAGAAATCCAAATCCTAATATAGAGAATGTGATCCTTGTGACAAGGGGGGCAACATCACCTCCTGTAGTACCTGAAAAAGGGGCTAGGCAAGTAAACGTATCTCAAGGGTTTACGAATGCCACTCGGGAATATCCATGGGGTATGCCTCCAAATTGGCGAACTACTCAGCCTATACATATTGAGATGCCCATCCCGTATTTGGGGACAAATCTGCACATGCACGTTCCCCTACAAGGGTATAATGCTGACCCTGATGGAATGGGTTTTGTTATGCAAGATCATTACCAACATGTGGGAAATCTTGAGTTAATCTTTGCTTAGTTGGCTAACTCGGATGGAACAAGGATTAAGTTATGAACAGAGAAATCTTTTGAGAACCAGGGATAAGAGAGTTGCAATCTGAACAAGGAGCCAATCCATTTTTCTTGTTGCGCTACTTTGCATTTTATTTTGTTTTAACCTTGATTCTGAACCAAACCCCCCCCACTTCGTTGAACCTTTGACAGAGACAAATGGTCCTTGGGAGATGACCTAGGAAAGCTTCCTAGTATTACATTTAACTATTTTTATTTGACCAGGTACGACCTCGATCAAGGTTATTAAAAGTTACCTGAGCAGTTTGAGTGGTTACGTCATAATTCTTCCATATTTATTAATTATATAATATATATTATTTTCCATTTTTTTCTAATATACAAGTATTAATTATAAAGTGTATTATATAAAAGGGAGTTGGCACTAGGAAACAGGTTATTATGAGCAGGTTATTTTTGGCCCACGTTGCGGGCCAATTGCATGCACTTCGTAAAGTGTTATGATAATTGTCAAAGACACATTGACTTACATAGACTTTTGCCTGAGTTTTTGCACTCTTTATCTGCCTCTTGGCCTTTCAATAAATGGAGAATTAACATTCTCAGTCCTTTCCCACTTGTTATAAGACAATTAAAGTTCTTAATTATGGCCATTGACTATATTTTAACAAATTGATCAAGGTCAAACTTGTTGCCAAGATTACTATTGAAAGAGAGTTCAAGCTTTCCTCTAGAAGTCAATTAGATGCCATTTTGGCATATGAAAAACCTTTGTCATCGACAGCAACACTCAATTCACTAACGACCAAGTGTAATGCTTTTGTGAAGAAATGGGAGTTCACCTCATTTTAACTTCAGTAGAGCACCCCAATCTAACGAACAAATTGAGTTTGCTAACAAGGTTATCTTATCATGATTGAAGAAGAAGTTTAAGGGATCCTGGTCATCATGGGTTAAAGAATTTTCGAGAGTAAATTGGTCTTACAATATGTTTGTCCACTTCTCAACCCTTGAGACACCCTTTTCTTTGGTGTACGGATATGATATTATGATCCTAGTCAAGATTAACGAACCATTGTGGTATCAGAGTTTTCAAATGAAACATTTGATAATGATCAACTCCTTCGGCTTGACTCCCTTGGAGAGATCAAAGAGATGGCACAAATTTGATAGGTAGTAACATAAAAAGAGGCCTCAAGGAAGTAAAATTATAAGGTTATCCGCGATAGTTCTCAGATGGCCTAAACAAATTAACTAATTAATAAACTTTCCCCGAAGTGGACCAAACCTTTTCATATTACAGAGGTCATTGGAAAAAGAGCTTATTGTAACGTAGCAAGTTGTTTCAGAAGGCCCAAAAGCCCAGTATGCGTGATTCAGTAGCCCAGAACGGGTCGTTCCCAAACTAGAACGGGTTGTTCCAAACTACTAAATTGACCTATAAAATGTAGTTGAGAACGGGGCATTCCAAACCCTAGAACGGGCCGTTCTGGATGGAGTACGGGCCGTTCTAGATAGAGTACGGGCTGTTCTGGATGGAGAACGGGCCGTTCTGGATGAGTCCTAGAACGGGCTGTTCTGATTTCAGAATGGGTCATTCTGCATGTAATTTTTACACATGCTAAAGGGGTGCAGAACGGGCCGTTCTGGATTCGAAACGGGCCGTTCTGGCCACTCCGGTAAAAATAGTTAAATGTAATACTAGGAAGCTTTCCTAGGTCATCTCCCAAGGACCATTTGTCTCTGTCAAAGGTTCAACGAAGTGGGGGGGGTTTGGTTCAGAATCAAGGTTAAAACAAAATAAAATGCAAAGTAGCGCAACAAGAAAAATGGATTGGCTCCTTGTTCAGATTGCAACTCTCTTATCCCTGGTTCTCAAAAGATTTCTCTGTTCATAACTTAATCCTTGTTCCATCCGAGTTAGCCAACTAAGCAACTAAAGTTTATATACATGAGAATTGATGCGTATTAATTATTGATGAATATTTGGAAATAGGCAATTATTAAAGGTGTTTGTATCTTTCTCGTCTCTGTTTTCATTCTCATTCTTAAAATATGTAAATTCACATACCTAAATTGAAACAACTCTATGCTAGTTCGAATAAAAAGAATTCATAAGTGTAATTTCTCGCAAACATATATATATATATATATATAT